TTTTTTTGATAAGAGATAAATTACTACACAATTGTCACTGAGATTTGGGAGCAGACGTCATGCAATATTACCCGACTAGTGTTTTTACCTCAGTTGTTATCACATTTTCTATCACTCTGAATATTTTGTTTCTCTTAAAAAGCTTTTTAGACCGTTTTCGTAGTGGCGGTGGTCGTAACCAGCTGCCTCCATGCCCGCCGGGATTCCCGATCATCGGGAACTTAGTCGGAATGCTAATGAACCGACCAACTTCCAAGTGGATAGTTCGTGTTATGAAAGAAATGAAGACGGATATAGCTTGCTTCCGGTTCGGTCGTGTTCACGTCATTGTCGTAACCTCCGATGAGATTGCCCGAGAAGTCGTTAAAGAGAAAGACTCCGTCTTTGCGGACAGGCCCGACTCTTACTCCGCCGAGTACATTAGTGGCGGGTAATTTTTGAACCTTATTTTAATATATATTTCTATTAAATAAACTTTATTAGCTCAATAAACTCAAATTAGAACATCATCAAATTTAAATGTAGAAATGATTAGAATTTTTTTTTTTTTTTTAAGAAAAAATGATTAGAATTAAAGAGAGGAATTGGGATTAAGTCACGTATATATAATAAAAAAAAACTTGTCAGGTAATTAGGTTTAAGTTTGTACATAAAAAATTATAAAACATGTGTAGTTTAGTTAAGTTGACAAACACTATCATTTTCGTATAATCTCCCCAAACAAAAACAAATTCTTGTCAATTTAGGGTTCAAATTATCTGGCGATGAAAACAATAACTAAATCCTAGGTTTAGTTAATGACTTTTTCTCTTTTAAATTACGGAAAGTGATTAAAACTTTCAAATAGTTTCTCATAATAACTTGGATCCACTCATGCATTTATAAAACATCTTAGGTACAATGGAGTGGTGTTCGACGAGTACGGAGAGAGGCAAAAGAAGATGAAGAAAGTGATGACATCGGAGTTGATGTCTACAAAAGCTTTAAACTTATTACTCGACGTTAGAAACTTAGAATCAGACAACCTCCTCGCTTATGTCCTTAACCTATACAACAAAGGTGAGTCCAAGAAGAGCGTCGTAGTGAACGTGAGGGATATCGTGTGCACTCACACTCACAATGTGAAGATGAGACTCTTGTTCGGACGGAAACATTTCAAGGAAACAACAATGGACGGGAGTCTTGGACCTATGGAGAAAGAACATTTTGACGCCATTTTCAAGGCTCTTGATTGTTTCTTTAGCTTTTACATAGCCGATTATTACCCTTTCTTTAGAGGATGGAATCTTCAAGGAGAGGAGGCTGAGTTAAGAGAAGCCGTTGATGTTATCGCTAAGTACAACAAGATGATTATCGATGAGAAGATAGAGTTGTGGAGGGAGAAGAATAAAGACTACGATGCAATGAAGAAGAATGATGTTTCCGAGATCAAAGATTGGCTCGACATTCTCTTCACTCTTAAAGATGACAATGGGAAGCCATTACTATCACCGCAAGAGATCACACATCTATCTGTGGTTCGTGTTAGGAATCTCACACAAAAGAAATATAATTTAAAATCTATGTGACGTTATTCTACCCATTATCAATTTAGGTGTACATATACATTTATATATATTCCTTGATATGATTTGTGACGTTCTTTTTTTGGCAGGATCTTGATGTAGTAGGGATTGATAATGCAGTGAATGTAATAGAGTGGACACTTGCGGAGATGTTAAACCAAAGAGAGATTCTTGAAAAAGCAGTGGAAGAAATCGATATGGTTGTCGGAAAAAACAGACTTGTTCAAGAATCAGACGTACCAAATCTAAACTACATCAAAGCTTGTTGCAGAGAAACTCTCAGACTTCACCCTACTAATCCTTTCCTTGTCCCTCACATGGCTCGTCAAGACACAACTCTCGCTGGTTATTTCGTCCCCAAAGGTATATTTCCCTCTTTTTTTTTTGTAGTATCTATTTTCTGTCTCACCGTCAAATAATGC